TAATTAATTTTGAGAAAAAAATCTATTAAGGAGCTGAGTTTTATATTCCTTTTTTCTAGCCAATCTTTTCACTCTTGAAACAAGTTATTCATTCAAAATCCTCCGCCTAAGAAACTCACCCAAACTATACTAAGTAAGAATTATGGAGAAAATTATGGTAAACAACTAGATTTCCTTATCCTCCATTCTATCATTGCCTCCTCATATGAGTCACCTCCTACCCTTCTCCTTAAAGTTACGGTATATACCTCCTCTAATTCATAGTCATGTCCCTCCTCCCAAGCATTCTCTAAGTAATTGACATGTCACATCCTCTTAGTCACCTTCATATTATTTCCTTCTCTGATTCACGCATCAACCTCCTACAAGTCACAGTCATGTCACAACATCAACCTCTTTAAGTCATAGTCATGTTGGATCCAACCCTCCTCCAAGTCACCATCATATCTGTTTCTCCCAAGAATGATGGCTAGAAAGAGCTAGAGAAACAAGAAGCCCTAGGCTCTCATAGTGTTCTATTCCTATATCAAATGAGCAATATAATGTTGAGACAATTAGGAGTTTGCTAGCTTCTCCTTAATTGTGAACTGCCAGAATAAGAATAAGATCGCCAGAATAAGATCAACATTGGTATTCAATGATGAGATGACATATCATCCCAGAGGCCTAGATTATAATAAATAATTGTAAAACTTGGACATATTTTTCTTTTCATTAGTATAATGGATAATATATTATGGAGATAATTAAGGACTTGCTAGCTTATCTTTAATCATGGACCCTCAAGACCATATCAATGTTGGTATTAAATGATGGACTAAATATCAAAGTAGATGTAGTAGTTTAGTGGTGAGGATCCAAGTTGTGGTTGTGTAGTCCTAGGCTTGAAATCCCAACAATTGAAAGTGAATTGAGCCTAATGAAGTAATTTTGTTTTTTTGTTTTTTTGTTTTTGTAATGGTTTCTTAAAAATTACACATGTCAGTGAGTTACGAGATAATATGATCGTGTTACCATGTATAAAATAATAAAGGGTTTACTAGTTTAAGCTTAACTTTAAAATCTTAAGATGGGCTCTCACAGTATGAACATTTTGATGTGGAGACAATTAAAAGTTTGTTGATTTATCCTTAAATCACGAACGGTTAGTTGATAGATGAGCCCTTTGGGGCTTGTTTACGATGAATGATGAGCTAAAAAACAAGGTGATTATAGTTTAGTGGTTAGAATTTCATAGTGTGGCCATGGAGACCTAGGCTTGAATCTTAATAGCCACATTTATTTTTCTTTATTCTTTAATCGTGGACTGAGCCTTGGGTGGCAGAGTTTTGCGGTGAGAGCCACATTTGTTTTCTAATTTTCCATAACATTCACATAAATGTTAAATCTAGGATCTGACACAAAACATTAATATCCTTAGCTTTTAGCTACAAATCAACTATTTTAGTATAACTCAAAAGAAAAAAATACAAACAATAAACCTCAAGTATGACATTCATAACGATGTACTATGGTCCTTGTTCCACCTCGAGTAGAGTTCAGAACCCACCCAATCCTTCGAAAAATGCCAATGAGTTATGAGATGATACGATCATGTCTAGTAACTATGTAGGAAACGATAAAGGGTTTACTAGTTTTTATGCTTAACTTTAAACCGTCAATATGAGCTCTCACATTATGAAGAATATGATGTGGAAACAATAAGAAGTTTGCTTGTTTATTCTTAATCAGTAGTCGTTAAGACAAGATCAACGTTCGTAATAAATGATAAGTTGATAGGTGAACCCCAACACACTAGATTTTGATGAATGATTGGCTAAATATCAAATTAGTGGTGAAAATTTTAGATTTGAGCTGGGCTTGAATCTTAGTAGGTGGGCTTGAATCTTAGGAGTCACATTTGTTTTTTAATTCTAAAAAACTATTAGTTTACTTATTTTTTATTTCCGAAATAGATAAGTTCTTAAAAATAACACAAACCATTTGAAAGTGAAATCGTGTTTAATGAATAATTATCCAAAATTTGTAACCATCTAAGAATAAAATTTGTAACCATCTAAGAATAAATAAAGTTTGATTCTTATTTAATATGGCATAAATTGCAACAATTTGTGATAATTTGAACAACATTTTCATAGAATGATCGTTGAAGTGTATGTTGTATGATTGATGTCTTGGTTCATATCAGGAGTCCTCTTTACGGCCCTAATACAGGTAAATTGTCGAATTGACGACCTTCATCTTTTATGTCTCTCGATGCCAAAGGATGTACAAGTGCTTTGCTTCAATCTCTGTCATGAAGTTGTAGGTGGCTCCAAAGTCAACAATTGTGTTACTAACTGCTTTGTGATTAATCCAAGCCTCGACACATATAAAACCGCGTTCCGCTGACTTCTTTATTTCTTTCACTCTCTTTTGGAGAGCGAACAATACTTTAGTTTAATGCTTTTAAGTTCTTCGTAAAAGAAGGAAAAAATAATTATAATAGGGAGCCAAGAGTGAGGATGGAATGGAAACAATAATTTATATATATATATAATAGAAGCTCTTGGGAGTGACTATAAATATTTAGTCATATACCTAAATCAAATTGAGAGAGAACCATTGTGTACATCTACAAAATCATTAATGATGGATGCTAAGTTATAGAATTTGGAGTTGATCTGGTAAGATAATGTTGAGTTAAGCATTAGGCCGGTTAGGAACATGTGACTTGATAGTTTGTTTGATTCTAAACAAAATCAAACAATGCTTACGCTGCATGAGTAAAACGTTCATTCCCTTTAGTTGGTGTTTTAAACTTAAGAGAATGTTGAAGTACCTTCTAACACAACTCTCGTTCTCCAATCCCTTCGAAATTTTATTTCAAGATGCTTCCACAAGTTTTGACCTTGTGTTTTAGTCATATGGAGGAAGACTTTATGGAGAAGATTCATCCTGGAGCAAGTAGATTAAAGCCCCGCCAAAACTTTCTCTATATTTCTTTAAGCTATGTTTGTTTAACCTTTAATTTTGTTTAATTCTAAATAAAATCAAAGTTGATTCCAATGCTTCCATTGCATGAATAAAATGTCCATTCCCTTTAGTTGGTGTTTTAATCGTAGGAGAATATTGGAGAATGCACACTAAAAAAAAGTGAAAAGGGAAATAAATAAAAATAAAGAAAAAGTTAGAATCTCACCCGTTGACTTGAAAGAAGAAAAAAAAAATGTGAAAATTTTGAACAATTTAATCACTCAATAATAAAGTGATAAGTCCACCACAAGCAACTAAGTTTTTCTACCATAATTGTTAAGATTGCACAACAACACATACGGAATCTAGATGAACACAAAGATAGAAGAGAGAAAATGCATGAGAAATACTAGTTAAAAGTTTATTGATGGCTTCAGTTACGTACACTAAGAGATAATATGGAGAATACATAAAGTACATTTTAAAAGCATAGCCTAATATATGGTTCAGTGTACTAGACTTAAAATTTAGTTATCGACAAGATGACTTAAAATTTTGAAATAGTTCCTTATTTTGAGACAAATGAAAATATGCACCTGAATCCAAAATCGAGGGTTTAGTTGGACTATTCCTAGTTTGAAAACAAATGAAAAGATGCACCTCAATCAAAAACCTAGGATTCAACTGGACTATCCAGATTAGAGCATCCCCACTTCACAAATATCCTCCGCTTCGTGATTCTGTTTTGAGACAAATGAAAATATGCACCTGAATCCAAAATCGAGGGTTTAGTTGGACTATTCCTAGTTTGAAAACAAATGAAAAGATGCACCTCAATCAAAAACCTAGGATTCAACTGGACTATCCAAATTAGAGCATCCCCACTTCACAAATATTCTCCGCTTTGTGATTCTGTTTCTTCTTTGGTCTTGTACAATTTGCCCAAAAGTGAACATTTTCTCCACAACTCCAACACGCGACGCTACGGTTCTTTGATTTTAATCGACCTTTGTTTGGGTCATTCCATTTACTTCTTCCCCTTTGGTCAACACTGAGAGAACTACTAGAGTATACTTTCGCTGAGAGCTACCTTTCTTTGGGTCATTCCATTTACTTCTTCCCCTTTCGTCAACATTGAGAGCACGACTCTACCTTTGTTTGGGTCATTCCATTTACTTCTTCTCCTTTGGTCAACACTGAGAGATATCAACTACTCTACCTGGGTTATTCCATTTACTTCTTTCCCTTTGGTTAACACTGAGATCACTGCCAAATGAATATCTCTACATGGGTCATTCCATTTACTTCTTCCCCTTTGGTCAACACTAAGAGCACTACCAGATGAATTTCAATGAATTTCCAATTTTTCGTTTGCATATACTTTCACTGAGAACTACTTCTCGGATTTCATCAAACTTCAGTTTCTTTTCGAATTTCATGAAATTACCGAACTCAGTTGACTTATATTATAACTATACCGTCTATTATATAGAACTATTTCCTTAACCACTCGGACATGTTTCTCAGATTCTCGGGAACTGAACTGCACACACCCTAATATAATTTCATCATACTGACATCCCTTATTCAAGGGATGTGATGATGTTTCACAATAAAGCAAAAAATTCCTTATATAATTTCACCATATTGACATCCCTTGAGCAAAAAATTCGTCAATAGCAATGTGATGATGTTTCACAATAAAGCAAAAAATTCCTTATATAATTTCACCATACTGACATCCCTTGAGCAAAAAATTCGTCAATAGCAATGTGACGATGTTTCACAATAAAGCAAAAAATTCCTTATATAATTTCACCCTACTGACATCCCTTGAGTAAAAATTTCGTCAATAGCAATGTGATGATTTTTCACAATAAAGCAAAAAATTCCTTATATAATTTCAGTAACATCCCTAGAGCAAAAAATTTGTCAATAGCAATGTGATGATGTTTCACAATAAAGCAAAAAATTCCTTATATAATTTCAGTAACATCCCTTGAGCAAAAAATTGATTTCGAGTCTGTCTCCTTAACCACTCGGACTACTAAAAATTTATCAACAGCAGGATTCAAACCTACGCAGGCATAGCCCAACAAATTTTAAGTCTGTCTCTTTAACCACTCGGACATATTGATACCCTTATATGAAGAATGTTTTGTTCCTTATTCAACTGATGTGAGATTCCAATAGAAGGATTCAAACCTGCGTAGGCATAGCCCAACAGATATCGAGTCTGTCTCCTTAACCACTCGGACATATTGACACCCTTATATGAAGAATGTTTTGTTCCTTATTCAACTGATGTGAGATTCCAATAGAAGAATTCAAACCTGCGTAGGCATAGCCCATTCCTTATTCAACTGATGTGAGATTCCAATAGAAGGATTCAAACCTGCGTAGGCATAGCCCAACAGATATCGAGTCTGTGAGATTCCAATAGAAGGATTCAAACCTGCGTAAGCATAGCCCAACAGATATCGAGTCTGTGAGATTCCAATAGAAGGATTCAAACCTGCGTAGGCATAGCCCAACAGATATCGAGTCTGTCTCCTTAACCACTCGGACATATTGACACCCCTTACATAAGGAATGATTCCTTCCCAACCTGCGTAGGCATAGCCCAACAGATATCGAGTCTGTCTCCTTAACCACTCGGACATATTGACACCCCTTACATAAGGAATGATTCCTTCCCCTTAACCATTGGGACAAATTGACTCGAACCTTAGCCAGCCATAGCCCAACAGATTCTTAACCACTCGGACTACTAAAAATTCGAGAACAGCAGGATTCAAAGGCGCAAAGCATAGCCCAACAGATTTCAAGTCTATCTCCTTAACCACTCGGACATACTGACACCCTTATATAAAGAATGATTCTTTCCTTGTTCAGCCGATTTGAGATATCAAATCGGACACCTTATATAAAGAATGATTCGTTCCTTATTCATATTTAAATAGAACTACACAGCCCAACAGATTTTGAGTCTGTCTTCTTAACCACTCGGATATATTGACACCCTTGTATAAAGAATTATTCGTTCCTTATTCAACCGATCTGTGATTTCACAATAAAGCTAAAAAATTCGTCGATTCGAATATGGCAGGCATAGCCCAACAGATTTAAAGTTTGTCTCCTTAACCACTTCGACATATTAACACCCCTTATATAAGAAATAAGGAATAAGGAATGATTGACACCCCTTATTATAAGGAATAAGGAATGATTGACACCCCTTATATAAATTCGTCGATTCGAACCTAAGTAGGCATAGTCTAATAGATTTCGAGTCTGCCTCCTTAACCATTTAGACATTTTAACACCCCTTACATAAGGAATGATTCATTCCTTGTTCAACCGATTTGAGATTTTACAATAAAGCTAAAAATTCGTCGCAAGATTCAAACCTGATTTCAAGTCTAGACATATTAAAACCACTTATATAAGGAATGATGCACAGGCTATCCTTATATAAGGAATGATTCAACAACAGAATTCGAACCTGTGTTGTCTCCTTAACCACTCGAACATATTGACACCCCGTATGTAAGGAATGATTCGTTTCTTATCCAACCGATGTGGGATTTAACAATAAAGCTAAAAAGTTGTGAACAATAAGATTCAAACCTACGTGGTCAAAGGCCAATAGATTTCTAGTCTATCTCCTTAACCACTCAGACATGTTGACACCCCTTGTATAAGGAATGATTCATTTCCTATTCAACTGATGAGGTGGGATCTCACAACAAAGCTAAAAAGTCGCGAATTGTAGAATTCCTCTTTAACCACTCGGACATATTGACACCCCTGCTCAACAAAGCTAAAAAGTCGCCACCACTAGGACATATTGACACCCCTTCTTGACAAAGCTAAAAAGTCCCCAATAGCAGAATTCCTGGTCAACCACTCAGTGATTCGTTCCCTGTCCAAAGTTAAAAAAGTCGTTTCGTTTGAAATGTGGGATTTCACAATAAAGCGAAATAAAGTCATCACAACAAGATTTGAACCTGTGCAAGCAAAACCAAACATAACAACACAAACATATTGACACACTTATGGAAGAAAGAAAAGAAAAGACAATAGTAACCGATGTGAGATTTCACAATAAAGCTCAAAAGTTGAATTTCCTAGGATTCAATAACACAATAGTAATTTCATGGAAGAAAGAAAAGAAAAGATAGCTTATAAATGGTGATTATCGAAAGCAACAACTAGATGTTCTTTACTCTTTTGGCTTAGCTACCGTTGGTTATTCTTTTGCAATTGATAAACTAATAGGAGAGTAAGTAAGCTCCAGTAACCCCAACTTCTCAGCCCAAGAGTAAAGGTAAGCACCATCTAAATTTCTTTCCCATTTTGACAATTAGTTCTAGTGGGGAGGCTTTCATAAGGAATGGTCTAAATTTCTTCCATAGATCAGCTGTGAAGATGAGTTGATTGGAACAAGAACCACTTAAAACCATCCACTAATGAGGGATAATTTAATAAGAGAAAAAATAGATTTTGACTCATCAAAATGAAGCAAACCTTTATTTAGTTATTTTCCTAAGAATTGAAGCCCCAAGACTTAAATCTTCTCAATCATACCCTCAAGAAATCGAGTAAAAAAGAGTGTATCACTAATTTTGAGAAAAAAATCTACTAAGAGCTGAGTTTTATATTCCTTTTTTCTGGCCAATATTTTCTCTCTTGAAACAAGTTATTCACTCAAAAGCCTCCACCTACAAGTTGAAACTCACCCAAACTTATACTAAGTAAGAATTATGGAGAAAATTATGGTAAACAGCTAGATTTCCTTATCCTCCATTCTATCATTGCCTCCTCGTATCCATTCTATCATTGCCTCCTCGTATGTGTCACCTCCTACCCTTCTCTTTAAAGTTACGGTATACACTTCCTCTAATTCATAGTCATATCCCTTCCCCCCAAGCATTCTCTAAGTAATCGACATGTCACATCCTCTTAGTCACCTTCATATTATCTCCTTCTCTGAGTCACGAATCAACCTCCTACAAGTCACAGTCATGTCACAACATCAACCTCTTTAAGTCGTAGTCATGTTGGATCCAACCCTCCTCCAAGTCACCATCATATCTCTTTCTCCTAGTTGACTCCATGTCTTGTCCTCCAAGTTGCCACATCAACCTTTTTAAGTTAGAACCATGTCTCTTCTTCAATCCTCCTCCAAGTAACCGACACATAACCCCCTTCAAGCCTCTTAGTCATTACCATGTTGCCTCTCCAAGTCGCCCCCTTAACCAAGTACCTCCATGATGCTTCCTCCCAAGAATGATGGCCAGAAAGAGCTAGAAAAACTATAAGCCCTAGGCTCTCATAGTGTTTTATTCCTATATGAAATGAACAATATAATGTTGAGACAATTACGAGTTTGCTAGCTTCTCCTTAATAGTGAACGGTCAAAATAAGATCAACATTGATATTAAATGATGAGATGACATGTCAGCCTAGAGGCCTAGATTATAATAAATAATGGTAAAACTTGGACTCGAATCCCAGACATATTTTTCTTTCTTTATTATAACAAACAATATAGTGTGGAGATAATTAGGGACTTACTAGCTTATTTTAATCATGGACCATCAAAACCAGATCAATGTTGGTATTAAAGGATGGACTAAATATCAAAGTAGATGTAGGAAAAGGTTTCGTGAAGAAATCGAGCTTCGAAAACCACTAGAATCGGCTACCCAATAAGAAATCCTCTGTTTTTACTCCGGCAAGAAATCATATTTTGGATGAACTTTGGAAGCAAATATCTTAGGCTACGATCCAAGAAAAGGTACAAAATCTATCCTTAGATCTTCCTTATAACACCCTCTTTAGGTTTCATGAAGGAATCGAGGGGAGAAGCGGCGTGATAGGAGCTGGGGAGGGCGAGTTATAGATGATGGCGCGAACGGTCGCGCGCGTCTTCTTCCCGTCTGGAGGAAGAAGACGAAGACGTGGCCGGTTCAGTTGAATCGGCCATGTCAACCCCAAAACTCAACCTTCCCTCAGTTTTTCTCTATTTTAGCCCCTTTCTAGACTGGTTCTCATAAAAAACTTTATGGTTCCAGAAAGTAGACACAATAAGGAATCTGTGAAAGGAAAGTTGAAGTAATTCGGGTACCGGAAGCTCAAGAAAAGAGGTCCCGAATGTCGACAACGATGTAAGTAGCCACCTTGGATGTTTTGTTAAGAAATACTTGTAGGAATCGCTTGGATTTTGATATGAACCCTAAAACAAGTATGAATTAGGATAAATGAAAGAAAAACCCTAGGAACCGTAAGATAAGACCTTGAACCGAATAAATTGCCCAAGATTTAGGTGACGTTAAAATAACCCACTAGATGAACTCCGCTGCCTATGAAATTTTAATGCTGAGCGTATTATAGCATGTTTAGGTTATATATGAAGCTTGGTAGTCATTGGATAAGGATAAGTAGGTAAACCAAGAAATGATACAAAATGACCATAATGCCCTATGGATATCTACCTACAGTTCATGACCTAGATGACCTCCAAATGCTATGAAACCCTGAAGTAGATCTTATTTTATGATGTTTGATGATTTGGTGAAGTTTGAGAGGCATTGGAACACGTTAAGTTGCAAAACCAAGAATTAGGGGTGAAATGACCAAAATGTCCTTAGGACTACTGATGAGTTTTCAAAGTCTATACGTGCTCCGAATGATTTGCTACTTCTTATAAGGTCAATTATGAAGGACATGAAGGTAAGTTTGAGGTTTCAAGTTGATTGGAGTAAGTTTGGAACCTAAGCCAAGTTAAGATCCAAGAAATATCTAAAGGAAACACCACAAGACTTTAGACCCTTCTAGAACCCTCTAAAGAACTCCCTAGGAAGCTATGACCTTCTAGAACAACTTACACTAAGATGGGTTCATATGGTTACAAATATAAGTTACAACTTATGCCCCAAAAAATTTAGGACCTTAGAAACTTACAAGATTAAGAACCAAGAACAACAACACACAAGCTTTACAACTACCCAAGTAAGAAGAATGCTAGGTGCCACTCAAGGACGAAGGACCAAGGTTCCCAAACTCAAAAACTCAAGAATGCTAGGTAATACTCTAGTCATGTCCAAAGTGACCCATGACCTCCCACCAAGCGGTGCCCAAGAATTCCTCTTCTAGGAAGGATGCCCTGCACCATGTTTCCTTTGCAGGATGTCATGCCTCAAGATTCTCTCCCCTAGAAGAGATGCCTTGCAGACTTGCAAGATGTTATGTTGAAGTATGCACTGAGCAAGTGACCTTTACGGTCTATCAAGGGGAGTAGTCTAAGGTCATGGAGGAACAAGAAGAGAGTAAGTTACCTTAGCCACGAATCAAGAACCTCCTAAGACCTCCCACGGTACAGCATGCTCATGACTTAGACTACGCTGCTTGGAACACATGAAACCTTGAGTGTAGGTTAAGCAGACTGTCTTATAGGGCAAGCCCTTGATGCAGTATTAAGACTACATCGCTTGGAATGTAAGAAGCCTTGGATGTAGGTTTTCAGACTATGCCGCTTGGAACGCATGAAGCCTTGGGCGTAGGTTAAGCAGACTGTATTATGGGGCAAGCCCTTGATGCAATATTAAGACTACATCGCTTGGAACGTAAGAAGCCTTGGATGTAGGTTTTCAGACTATGCTGCTTGGAACACATGAAGCCTTGGGCATAGGATTAAGCAGACCGTATCGAAGGGCAAGCCCTAAGATGCGGTAAGACTACGTTGCTTGGAACGCATGAAGCCTTGGACACAGGATTGTCAGGTGCCGTAAATCCTAGGGGGAGTGTCCTAGTTCTAAGGACAAGAACTAGGAACAAATGACCAAGAACCAAAAACCATAGTACAAAGACCCTTAAAGGAAAACCAAGGTTTTAGGACTCAAGGACCAAGATCCTCAAGAAAGATCAAGATAAGAACCCTAAGTCAAGAACAAGAATTAGAGGGCTTAAGTACTTACAACAAGAACAAGAACATGAACAAAGAATGTGGTGCCCTAGCATATCAAGGACACGATTAAGAGCCTACAAGTAGGCTACTTACTGAGTCTTGTACTCATTCCTTATTCTTCATTTTTTTTCCAGGTGATAAGGAGCTTGTCGAGGATGGGAGCGGACTCTAGAGCAGGTGCCATAGACAAACCTCACCCGTCGTCTTCAACCCTTTGTTTTAAAATGTTTTGTGTCTGTCCTTTATTTTGTGTTTTAACCATTATGTGGTTTTCTAAATTGGTAATGTGCCGCACTATTTTGGTATAATGTAAATTATGTTTTAAATTTTAATGGTTTTATCAAGAAGGAAAATTTTACCCACTTTTTTGAGTCATCGAATCAGCCCAGTCCTTACAGTTTACTAACTTAAGCTTTAATTTTAAACTATCAAGACGGGCTCTCACACTATGAACAATTTGATGTGGAGACAATTAAAAATTTGTTGATTTATCCTTAAATAGCTGATAGATGAGCCGTTTGGGGCTTGTTTACGATGAATGATGGGCTATAAAACAAGGTGGTTATAGTTTAGTGGTGAGAATTCCACGTTGTGGCCATGGAGAATTGGGCTTGAATCCGCCACATTTGTTTTCTAATTTTCAATAACATTCACATAAATGTTAAATCTAGGATCTGACACAAAAACATTTATACCCTTGGCTTTTTAGCTACAAATCAACCATGTTAGTATAACTCAAAAGCAAAAAATACAAACAATAAACCTCAAGTATGACATTCATAACGATGTAGTATGGTCTAGATATGCCCCAAAGGACTAGATTTTGATCAATGATGGGCTAAATATCAAACTAGTTGCAAATTAGTGATGTGAATTTCACGTCTAGCTAGGCTTGAATCTTAGTAGTCACATTTGTTTTTTAATTCTAAAAAATATTAGTTTCACTTGTTTTTTATTTTCGAATTAGATATGTTCTTAAAAATAACACAAACCATTTGAAAGTAAAATGGAGTTTGATGAAGTAATTACCAAAAATTTGTAACCATCGGAAAGTGGCAGAGTTTTGCGGTTAGAGCCACAGTTGTTTTCTAATTTTCAATAACATTCACGTAAATGTTAATTTAGGATCCGACATAAAGACATTTATCTCCTTAGCTTTTAGCTACAAATTAGCCATGTTAATATAACTCAAAAGCAAAAAATACAAATAATAGACCTCAAGTATGACATTCGTAACGATGCACTATGGTCCTTGTTCCACCTCGAGTAGAGTTCATAACCCACCCAACCCTCCCAAAAATGCCAATGAATTATGAGATGATACGATCATGTCTAGTTACTATGTAGGAAACGATAAAGGGTTTGCTAGTTTTTATGCTTAACTTTAAATCGTCAAGATGAGATCTCACATTATGAACAATATGATGTGGAGACAATAAGAAGTTTGCTTGTTTATTCTTAATTAGTAGCCGTCAAGACGAGAACAACGTTGGTAATAAATGATGAGTTTGATAGGTGAGCCCCAACACACTAGATTTTGATGAATGATTGGCTAAATATCAAATTAGTGGTGAGAATTTAAGGTTGAGCTGGTCTTGAATCTTAGTAGTCACATTTGTTTTTTAATTCCAAAAAACTATTAGTTTTACTTATTTTTTATTTTCGAAATAGATATGTTCTTAAAAATAACACAAACCATTTGAAAGTGAAATCGTGTTTGATGAATAATTATCCAAAATTTGTAACCATCAAAGAATAAAATTTTTAACCATCTAAGAATAAATAAAGTTTGATTCTTATTTAATATGGCATAAATTGCAATAACTTTGATAATTTGAACAACATTTTCGTAAAATCATTGTTGAAGTATATGTTGTATGATTGATGTCTTGGTTCATATCAGGAGTTCTCTTTACGACTCCTAATACAGGTAAAGTTGCCGAATTGACGACCTTCATCTTTTCTGTCTCTCAATGCCAAAGGATGAACAACTGTTTTGCTTCAATCTCTGTCATGAAGTTGTGGGTGGCTCCAAAGTTAACAATGGTGTTACTGACTGCTTTGTGCCGAATTGACGACCTTCATCTTTTCTGTCTCTCAATGCCAAAGGATGAACAACTGTTTTGCTTCAATCTCTGTCATGAAGTTGTGGGTGGCTCCAAAGTTAACAATGATGTTACTGACTGCTTTGTGATTAATCCAAGCCTCGACACATATAAGACCGTATTCCGCTGACTTCTTTATTTCTTTCACTCTCTTTTGGAGAGCGAACAATTACTTTAGTGCGCCCATCCGTGGGCTTTTAACATGCTCAACTAACAGTATTTTTGTTTCTACCATCTCATACTTGGCTTTTGAATTCATTTCAAGTTTTGTTTGAAATGGGTATATTTTTTACTTAGTTTGAAAAAAATTCGTTTGAAAAAAAATTAACTAAAAAATATACAGTTTAATACAGTTTAATGCTTTAAGTTCTTCATAAAAGAATGGAAAAAATAATTATAATAGGTCGCCCACAGTGAGGATGGAATTGAATCAATAATATATATATATATATATATAATAGAAGCTGTTGGGAGTGACTATAAATATTTAGTCATATACCTAAATCAAATTGAGAGAGAACCATTGGGTACATGTACAAAATCATTAATGATATATATATATATATATATTATATAATAGAAGCACTTGGGAGTGACTATAAATATTTAGTCATATACCTAAATCAAATTGAGAAAATTGAGAGAACCATTGGGTACATGTACAAAATCATTAATGATGGATGCTAAATTATAGAATTTGGAGTTGATCTGGTAAGATAATGTTAAGTTAAGCGTAAGGCCGGTTAGGAACATGTGATTTGATAGTTTGTTTGATTCTAAAAAAAATCAAACAATGCTTACGCTGCATGAGTAAAACGTTCATTCCCTTCAGTTGGTGTTTTAAACATAAGAGAATGTTGAAGTAACTTCTAACACAACTCTCGTTCTCTAATCCCTTTGAAATTTTATTTCAAGATGCTCCCACAAGCCTTGACCTTGTGTTTTAGTCATATGGAGAAAGACTTTATGGAAAAGATTCTCTATATTAGAGGAGTGGAGCAAGTAGATTAAAGCCCCGCCAAAACTTTCTCTATATTTCTTCAAGCTATGTTTGTTTAACCTTTAATTTTGTTTAATTCTAAATAAAATCAAAGTTGATTCCAATGCTTCCATTGCATGAATAAAATGTCCATTCCCTTTAGTTGGTGTTTGAATCGTAAGAGAATGTTGGAGGCACACTAAGAAAAGTGATAAGGGAAATAAAAAAAATGAAAGATAAAGAAAAAGTTCGAATCTCACCTGTTGACTTGAAAGAAGAAAAAAAAAAGTGAAAATTTTGAACAATTTAATCAATGAATACTAAAGTGATAAGTCCGCCACAAGCAAATAAGTTTTTCTACCGTAATTGTTAGGATTGCACAACAACGCATACTGAATCTAGATGAACACAAAGATAGAAGAGAGAAAATGCACGAGAAATACTAGTTAAAAGTTTATTAATGACTTCAGTTATGTACACTAAGAGATAATATAGAGAACACATAAAGTACATTTTAAAAGCACGGCCTAATATATAGTTCAGTTTACTATATAGGTCGCAGGCTCCATAACCCAACTAGTCTCCCACTTGGAGGTTGATTTGGTCAACCAAGAATTTGATTCTCAAACAACCATCAAAATACGCCTTCTCCAAATTTCTATACTTAAAATTTTGAAACGGTTCCTTATTTTGAGACAAATGAAAATATGCACCTAAATCCAAAATCAAGGGTTCAATTGGACTATTCCTTGATTGAAAACAAATAAAAAGATGCACCTCAATCCAAAACCTAGGATTCAATTGGACTATCCGAATTAGAGCATCCCCAATGCCATTAGCTAAATTTGTAAAGTCATTACTATCCTCCACTTCGTGATTCTGTTTCCTCTTTGGTCTTGTACAATTTGCCCAAAAGTGAACATTTTCTCCATAACTCCAACACGTGACGCTACGGTTCTTTGATTTTAATCGACCTTTGTTTGGATCGTTCCATTTACTTCTTCCCCATTGGTCAACACTGAGAGAACTACTAGAGTATACTTTCGCTGAGAGCTACCTTTCTTTGGGTCATTCCATTTACTTCTTCCTCTTTCGTCAACATTGAGAGCACCACTCTACCTTTGTTTGGGTCATTCCATTTACTTCTTCCCCTTTGCTCAACACTGAGAGCACTACCAGATGAATCTCAATGAATTTCCAATTTTTCGTTTGCATATACTTTCACTGAGAACTACTTCTCGGATTTCATCAAACTTCAGTTTCTTCTCCAATTTCATGAAATTACTGAGCTCAGTTGACTTATATTATAACTATACCGTCAATTATATAGAACTATCTCCTTAACCACTCGGACATGTTTCTCAGATTCTCGAGAACTGAACTGCACACACCTTTATATAATTTCAAGTCTGTCTATACCGTCTATTATGTAGAACTATCTCCTTAACAACTTGGACATGTTTCTCAGATTCTTGGGAACTAAACTGCACACACCCTTATATAATTTCACCATACTGACATCCCTTATTCAAGGGATGTCATGATGTTTCATATCCTTAACCACTCGGACATGTTTCTCAGATTCTCGGGAACTGAATTGCACACACCCATATTTAATTTCAAGTCAGTCTATACCGTCTATTATGTAGAGCTATCTCCTTAACAACTTGAACATGTTTCTCAGATTCTCGGGAACTAAACTGCACACTGATGGTGTTAATATAACACATGCGGAAGCAATTTGGATCTTAAGCACTTTTAGAACATCAATTATAGTAAATAACTAGCATGTTCATAAGTATTAAAACTTAATGTGTTTGAATACTAACCTTTTGTAGTTCAAATTCCTTTTTCCTCATGAACCGGTTACGAACCACCACTAATGTCTTCTCCACTATCCTTCGGCCTTAGAACGGGATTGTGGAATCCGGTGAGTGGCTAAACTTGGGAGGGATTTTGTATATATGAAGAGAGTGTTTGTGAGAGGTTTTTCTCGAGGTTTTTTTTTCCAAAAGGAAGACATTCCATGTACCATGATCACTCTATTTATAGAGTTATATTTGCATGTTCATGCAAATTTGAGATCACCAAATTTTGACACTCAAAATTCCACTCAAATGTTTGGGATTATGTGGCAAGCATG